AAATAGCTCAAAACCTCAATTTTGGAGAGGATTTTGCAAGAAATCACTGTAAAACACAGTGTTTCTGTTTCATTTAAGTTTAACGGTGGAATTTGATGTTAAATTGGATTTCAATTGATTTTGGTATTAGACTTCAATTAAAACGCTTTCAGAATTATTGGTGGGAGTTGATGTATCATTAGCTTTCTATTGAAAATGTGTTTAAGATTAATTGTAGATTGTTTACAAACTAAGTTTCATTTATATCATTGTCAAAATCATTGGGGAAATTGATGTTTATATTAGATTTCAATTAACATTTCTTCAAGATTAATTATAGAAAAATGAATGTGTAATTCAACTTCGATTAAATGCCTTTTCAAGATCATTGTGGCAATTGATTTTGAATTAGATTTCAATTAAAATCCTATTATATTTCATTGTAGAAGAATGATGCAAAAACAGTGTGTTTTACAGTGATTTCTTGCAAAATCCTCTCCAAAATTGAGGTTTTGAGTTCTTTTTTGATCAATTTTGTGAGATCCAAGCCTATCCCAATTTAGAGGGAATACCAAAAAACCAAAAAAACAAAAAACCAATAAACCAAAAAACCAAAAAATGACCAATGTTTGACACAAAATGCAGCCAACATCCAAAAACCAATAGTCCCATTTTGTCTCAAACATTGTTTTTTTTTTGGGTTTTTTGGTATCCCCTCTAAATTGGGATAGGCTTGGATCTCACAAAATTGCTCAAAAAATAGCTCAAAACCTCAATTCTGGAGAGGATTTTGCAAGAAATCACTGTAAAACACAGTGTTTCTGTTTCATTTAAGTTTAACGGTGGAATTTGATGTTAAATTGGATTTCAATTGATTTTGGTATTAGACTTCAATTAAAACGCTTTCAGAATTATTGGTGGAAGTTGATGTATCATTAGCTTTCCATTAAAAATGTGTTTAAGATTAATTGTAGATTGTTTACAAACTAAGTTTCATTTATATCATTGTCAAAATCATTGGGGAAATTGATGTTTATATTAGATTTCAATTAACATTTCTTCAAGATTAATTATAGAAGAATGAATGTGTAATTCAACTTCGATTAAATGCCTTTTCAAAATCATTGTGGCAATTGATTTTGAATTAGATTTCAATTAAAATTCTATTATATTTCATTGTAGAAATTAGGCATTACTTAAATGTCAATTAATGTCCTTTTCAAAATCATTGTGGAAATTGCTTGTTGTTTAGATTTTAATTTAAGTTCTTTTCAACATAATGTGATTGAATTGCTTGTGTATTGGATATCAATCAAGACCCTTTTAGAATTGATTGTGAAAATTAACTTTCAGTTAACAGTTAATGGTGGAAATCAATTCTTATAATTAGATGTTAGTTAAAGTCCTTTTATTTGATGTAGCCTTGTAGGGGGGAGCAAACAGATACAAAATCAATTCAAGTTAGTTAAGCATCACAATTTCCACAATTGATCTTAAATCGACTTTAAACACAATCTGATATTAAATCAAAGCCACCCCTAACTTTGAAAAGGACTTTGACTAAAATCTAATTGTAAGAACTAGTTTCCACAATGAGTTTTAAAGAGAACTTGGAAATGGTTTTTATTGCAATCTAATATCTAATAAATAGCAAATTCCACAATCAATGTTAAAAGGATCTTGACTGAAATCTTCTAATTTAAGTTTGCCTAATTCTATTTTAATTCCAGTTTAGTTAGTTTAAGAACACACATGTTACAAAACCCTATATTTTACAGTGTTTTTTGCCCTAGGAGTGCTGGGAACAAGACACAAACTATGTTTTTGAGTAGATAGTATTTGTTTAAAGTAATCCCTTGGAATATTCATTGCTATATTAAAACTGCTTTATGTACAAACTTCTAATTCAAAAGGTTCCCTCTAGATCTGATCACTTCTGTGAAAAAATATAAAGCTTTCATTTGAAAAGCTTTCCTCTGGATCTCTGGAAGTAGTCATGGTATTTTAAAAAAGCTATAAGTATGTATGTAAGTGTTTCTTTCAAATGCTTTCCTTCAATGAAAATACACAAATCTAGGAAATCTACTTTCCCAGAGATCCAGAGGAAAGCTATTGAATCTAGAGATGTATAGTATTATATCTTCATTCGCTCATGATGCTACATTCATTGTGGGCAGAGAGAGATTTACCTGATAATATTTATCATTGGTGTTGCACATTGATAGTGGGCAGACGAAGAGCTGTTATTTGTTGTCATTGACATTGGACATGGAGACTGGGCACAGACAGATCAACAAAATTGCGTTTCGCCTAGTTCTCAGAGCAGTTTTTGAAATTTTGCACGGTATTTACAGTGTTTTCTAAGGGTTTTGAGCTAGTGTGTGCTCTCCCAAGCACACCCACCCTCTAAAAAAAGGGTGTTTGCGACCTGTGATAGTCCTTGATAGTTTCAGTCATGTTTTGATTGCTATGATTCCATGTCATGTGACTCAGACTTGCAGCACAGTAAACTGAATAGCGCTGCACTTCGTTCGTGCCAGCCAGACTTGTTTGATGAGGTTGATGCTGAATGAGCTGAATGTCTTGTCACGTATTGTTCAATTTTAACCTAGACTCAAGTCGTACCCTACTGCATGTTTGACTGAGTTTGATGTTGTTTGCAAGGGTTGGAATCCCTGCCAGCACAGCGCTCTTCCGCAAAAACTTGACTAGATTCAAACATCTTATTACAGCAACAACCCCTGCCAGCACAGTGTTCAGCAAAAAGTTTACTTACTTACTAGCTACTTTTCAATAATCTTACAATCCCTGCCAGCACAGTTAAAGCTTGACTACTTTCAACAAATACTTTTCAATGCCTTGAGCCGATACTTGACTAGTTGCAAAAACCTTACTTTGTCACAATCCCTGCCAGCGCAGAGCTCTTCAGCCAAAACTTACTAGTTCAAAAACTTTCAACGAGGCCAGGAGCGATTATCGTAAAGGAACCCTTTGTCCTTAGTACTTATTTCATTGTGTTCTGTAAGTTGACTTGTTGCTAGACTTGTCAACTTATCGTAAAAGGCTATGTTGAACTTTCATTTTGTCTGCAAGTTCACTGCAACTTCACTTGTGGCTTCACTCGTGGACTTGCTCGTGAAAACACTTTTGGTTCACTCGTACTTTTACTCGTTGGTGAATTTTGTTCAAAAGCATGTCTAACCATACTTGTCATTTTTACTCTTGTTTGAGTAGTTCCTAATCATTTTAGGTCTTATTTGTGACAATTTCATGCTTAAAAACTGGTTCACTATGATCAAAGCAATTTCCAAAATGCAAGACAAGGACTAGCCAGAGTGACCTCAAAGGGTGCCCATCTGGAGGGTCAACTTTAAATTGCTGATTTACTATCATTGGCGCAGAAGACCGTGGAAGCGATGACCCAGCGTCAGGACAAAAGATCATTTGAGCGTTGGAACAGCTTGTTAGAGAAAGATCAAGTACAGAGGCTGATGGACAAGTACCAAGAATATGGGAAACGTGTCGTGGAAGGGAAATGGAAGACCAACTACCTAGCACCGCACCTGAACTTGAACATCCACCATCCGAAGCAGCTTCATCAAGCCAACGTGCTCCAGCACAAGACGAACAAAATCGAAGAGGAAAAGGAAAAGGGAAATCTATGGTCACGCGGGTCGACAAAAAAGGGAACAGATGAACAACTATGCTCGTGACTGGCAACCACAGACTTCAGATCCAGGCATTTACGCTGCAAAGTTCCGAGACGGCTATTGGACCGACCCAAGACTTCGACAAGATCCTGGTCATTGGACAAATCGAGAATGGAAAAATGCCGACTGGATGGCACATCGAGAAGCCGAATGGATCGAACGCAGACCTCGAGTCATCAGAACCGCCCAGCGAAGTTCGGGAGATTGGGATGGTGACCAAGAGGAAGAAAAATCATGATGATGTTGAATACACAGGAGAAGAAGGAGAAAATGATACCTGACACAAGACAAGGTCAACGCACTGCGTGTGACACCTTGACGAGCATGTTCACCGTACTTGCGCATGAAAATCTGTTGAACAAGGTCAGTGCACGTCGCTTGACTTTTGAAAGTCGTAAGAGTATCTGCGTGTGAACTTTCTACAGTCGAAAAGCTGCAAAGCTCAATCTACATCGTGGCGAAGATCTACTGAGTGGAATCTGAGCGAGGCAACTTTCACTGTCAGTTTTCACGAATTAAGTTGTATAGCCAAGAGGTTGAAGTGCACGCTGTATATGTAAAAGACCATTTAGTTTCAATAGTGCTGTGTCGTTAGAATCTATTTTGATAGGCTTCGCGGCCAATTATAGCGAACCACTGTGCATAGTCCACTGCCCTTGAATTTCAAGTGTGACCATTGCTGAAAGCGTCGGTCACGCGGGGGGTGTCAATAGCAGTGGGACGACAGCATACCATATGCATGTACAGAATACACTAGCGTGTCGCGCCTGTATTTGGCTCAAGATTCCCCTAGAGAAAGCGGAAAACAAGTGCGTGCCATCGCTGTCTACGAGGGAGAGGATAGTCTACCTATACTTCACGTTGGGCAGATTAATATCCACACGCAAATTTCAACTGTGTCCATGCAACTGTTTTTTGACTTTTTGGAAACCACGACCACAAAAACTCGGGAATTGGATCAACCTTCACAGTTGGACCAAATTGAACTTGGCCGATTCGAGCTGTATATGACACATATGTGGCAGCCACACAACAGTAAAATGACCATGAACATCATTGATTGGAATGTGCACATTGTCAATGACGTCGTTAGTCGTCATTGCGATTGCTTGTTCAACCTTGGAGTTGGGAAGGAACATTTTCCTCATCACGGTTTGCCAGGTCCTTGTGCTTGAAACCGCCACAATGTTTTCAATGCAAGGATTTAAAAAGTTGCCGTTTTGAGCAGAGTGACCGTTTTGCAGCACGACTAACAGTTTTGTTGCTTTGCTTTTGTCTATCAATGTTTTTGTGTTTCAGTCAGGAAAATACATGCATCTTACCAGGTGTTTTACTGGATGTTTTGTAGTGGACATGCGCAGCCAACAGCAGAGGATTCAGCAATGAACTAAGTTTTTTGATTGTGCGGTCCCTTGCAGTTGCAGGAATGAATCGGAAGGAAACTTGAAGAATTGGAATTCAATGATTTGATGCTTGATTTGGGCAATGAGGTTGAAGAACGTGGGCAAAACGGAAGTTTCCAGGACCGTTTCATTTTCAGTTTGTTTTCTCACTGCATGTTTGACGAACAAAAACGAGAAACACATACAAACCGTAATCAACAGACTACAGACGTTTCATTCAAATTCCAATGCCTTGCTGTTTCAGGACTCCAAAGCAGTCTGCTCCGCCGTCCTCTCCAGCCCGCTTGCGTGGAATGTCACCGTCTCCAACCACCCCAGCGATGCCAAAAGCTGCAGAGAGGGTCAAGGCCAAACGGAACAAGGAGCGGTACAGCACGACCAGGAGCTAACACCAGTCGATTTGACTTCAAGGACTTGTTTTCGTTTCATCCCAGCCAGCACGACCAACGCTTTCGTTCTTCCCCAAGGGTTACAGTAAGGTTAGAGCCAGTTTGAGGCTCCCCAACCGTAGCAAAACCATCGGTGGACCAGATTCCTGAGCAGTGTTTGGAGGATTGGGTGAACAGACTAAGTTTTGGAGGTTCTGGAGTAGATTTGGAATCCATATTCCAATCCTGCCATTGCGCCAGTGGCAGGCAAAAAACAATTGCGAACCAAAGCATGTTCGAGATCTTCAGAAAGCACTTCGGGCAGAACCCAAACCTATTCCAGATGAAGAATCTGAGCCTGGGCTTGAGACGGAGTCAACTTCCACTTCCAGCCAGCTCAAGACACTAGTGCGAGCTGTTTCTGAGCCGCCACTTCCTCGAGGACTTGATCACTTGGGCATTCCCCACAGGACTCCTGGATCAAGCCCCAAAACGCCGCGAATGGTGCATGGACGAGTGGTCATGAACAGGATGGTGGCTGAATGGGAGCTGGCACAAAGCAGACGTTTGCAGAATTGGTTCGGGCAAGACATGCCAGAGTCTGCCAGAGGACGACGACATCAAGACAGCTCAGCTGTGAATGCTGTGGTTTTTGGATGCAGGCGAACGCGGCCAGGTTCCGTTGATCCAGGCTTGGGAGAAGATCGAGTTCGTCCAGGTGCATCAGCTGGCCCTGTTTTGGCTGGAATCCCTGCTGGTTGGAATGTTGGAGAAGGCCGAAGGTCTGTGACGTCTGCGACGGGTCACGGTCTCTGGAGCGAATCCTTGGAGCCGCGGCCGTCACGGCCGCCACGCAAGATGGTGCCGCGCTTCGCGAGTGCTTCGGATGGTGGCAGTGTGGGCGAAGTGGTCTTTGGGAGCTTGAGAAGATCACATGAAGTTTTGGATCACCCAGAAGTTGTACGTCGAGTTTGGGGCGGTTGCGCAGGGCAACCCAGCCTTCCACGCGAAAGAGCGAAGAAGTCCACGCATTTTTCAACTCTTTGGGATATAAAGGCAGGAAGAGCGACCCAAGAAGACGCCATTATTATTGTTTTGAAAGTATTCTTAGGAAACATCTCCTATCCTATTTGCCTTCCAGTTTCTCAACCCTGACCCTGAGGGCTCTGGTGGCCTATGCAGCCAAAGTAGCTGCACTTGTTCATCAAGCGAACCTGGTAGCCCTTCGTCCCGAGCATCCTCAGCCTTTCTAGATTTATCAAGGTCACTGGGCTGTTGTCAAGACAAGCTTGGAACATGCGGAAGTGGTCCAACTTATATAATAAGACTCAAAAGACTGAATGCTTTGCACCTAATTTGTTTTGTCGCTGCACGTGAGGCAGGGCATGGATATGGTTCGCCAACCGTCGGATTGTCGATTGGAGGCTTGGACTCAGAATCTGTGATGAGGACATGAGGTCATGACATTACTACTAGGAGCAAGGACGCTACTAGTAGATCCTGGCACCGCTGCTAGTAACAAGAAGCTACTAGTAGCTCCTGGCCATACTACTAGTAGCATTCTTGCTAGGAACAAAGGGCATCGCTACTAGTAACAATGCTGGAAGGCTTCACCTTGGCATGCGAGCAAGCCACCAGAGCGAGGCGTAGACTTTGCTTTTGTGCTTCGTTTTTTGCCGATGGTCGCTGTGGTGGAGGTCAGTGCAACACCTACAGAAGCTTGCCCGCATCAATGCAAAAGCAAAGAGCGCACAAAGAATAGTTTGGAAAACCTTCCAGTGTCTACCTTCGTTTTAGATGGGAGACCGCTGCTGAGGATCCCTTTACGAAGGCGCTGCTGGAAGGTGAGGGTGTGTTCAAAAGTGTTCAAGTGAATGTCAGTGTCAAAGACCTCTTCAAAGCAACCTCTTACTTGGGGCACGCAGCACATCGCCTATTCTGGATTACTTTCTTAGATACGCCTTTTGCAGGGCCAGCTGGATGACTTCTGTCTCACGAAGACATCGCTCTGTCAGCCTACCCAGCCAGATGGTCCAAAATGCGGAACACAAGACGAAAGGTCTCAATTGTTCGGTATCAGAGTTCACAGTGGAAATCACTAAAGTCTTTTGGTACCGTATCAGATTTTTGAAGGTCCGAGGTCCTCCGAGTTCCACCGAGGTCCTAGGTGTTTGGTCACAGGTCAACGAATCAGCTGCGTCAGTCGACGTCTTGAGCGTTTTGGAGATGCGCTGAGGAACGAAGCTCTGAAGGTGCCAGCAGACATCTCTGGAGGAGCAGTTTACGTTAAACGTATTGGCCACAGCAGTTTACTTCAATCACGCAGGTGCTTCGGAGGCAAGCGAGGTCCAGTCAAAGCTTGCAATGCAGCGGGAAGGAGGTGCATTGATGATGGAGTTTTCTTGATCCATACGATCGTCTGGCGTTCAGAGAGTCAAACAAAGGCGCTTTTTGTCCAAAACCGAACAGTTTTCACTCGCTGCTGGGAAGCTGCGGGTTCCTTTCCTGATTCAGCTGGAGCCTGGGCTTTCAGCGCATGACTGGAGCGCGAGGTCCGGAGCTTGGCGGATCCTGGTTGAGCGATTCGTTCTGGGTGTTTGAGACCCACGCATGAGGTTGTGCTGTTTTGCCTGTGCCCTGTTCTGGGCAGAATTCAATCCCAAGATCGAAACATTGAATCGTTTTTGGGAGCTTTTGCAAGTTGCTGGTTTGTTTGGTGGTACTGTGGATTTCAACCATTGAACTTCTTGGTTTTGTGAGGACATTTGCCTGGAAAGAGAGAACATAGCAGAAACTCGACCGCATCAGCTTTGCCGAGTTGCCATTCGCCACATATTATATATATACATATATTATATATATAGAATATAGAGTTGGCTCAAGCCATCTCAGGTTCTCAAGCTGGTCCGATACAAATCCAGCTGTCGAACCCGCCGCGCGCCATAGTGGTGCTTGGGGAGACGAGCGAGAACGAGTACATCCTCATGAAGCCGGCCTACTTGGTTTGCAAATCATGTCATCAAAGCTGGATATGGCAGACACGTGTGATAGCACAACCAGGACTGACATGCAAACAGGGTGGACATCCCTGGCAAGACCGCAGCCTAGCTGATTTGAAGAGCCACCGCAGAACTACGCAGTGGGCCAAATGGAATTTCCACAACACAGGCCATCAATGGCCAACCCGGACCTACAAGCAGGCTTTCCTGGAACCTCCACCAGGGCTCACAGGCGGAGGTCGCTCAAAGAAGACCAAAGTCAAGCAGTCCGGACTTCAGAAAGCAGTTCAGGAACACTGGGACTCACTTCCACAGGCTCTCAAAACCCAGTGTGAAGCACTGGGACTTCAGGCTAGTGCTCCCCCAGCACCGGCAGATCTACCGACCTTGATTAAGGAGCATTTGCAGAGCCTGCCAAGTGACCTCAAGGAAGCCGTTGAGAAGCTGGTTGAGCCGGACAAGCCAGAACCCACACTGGCCACCAAGCTCAAGCAGTCTGTGGGGAACCTCAAGCAGTTGGCAGAAAAGAAAGCCGTGCTTCAGCAAAAGGCAGATGCCGTCAAAGCCCAATACACGGCACTCCTCCAAGAGCTCAAAGACATGCAGAACAAGATCGAACAGGCTCAGAAAGAACTGCAAGAGACTACCACCAAGTACAACCAGCAGCTTGAGAAGGAGAAGAACGAAGCCGTCGATGCAGAACAAGATTTCACACTAGCCCCAGAGAAACTGGTGACCATTTTGGCCAAAGTTGGCCTACAGGCCACTGCTGAACAGGTCACTGATTTTGCACGACAGCTCGAGGAGACAGCCGCAAAAAGACGGAAGTGTGGGTAACCCGATTGAGAACGAGATGGCAGAAGGGGTTGACACATGTCAGACATGGACTACTCATCTAGGGGAACATGATGATCTTTGGTCTATGGCTGGGCATGTGCATAGAGGCTCAGAGCAGCAGGGTTCAACACAGGCCAACAGCACCTGTGCTTTTGGGGCGCCGGTTCATGTCGAACTGGCTATGATGGAACAGCTCAAGGCTGTCCCAAGATTTTGTGGGGGAGCGGGACCCTTGGCAGATACCATGGAACCTGCTCATGACGAAGAAGATTCTCAGCCAGTGGTCATTCCGACTATGGCAACAAAATCACCTCTGGACTGCGTGATCCAGAACCTCCAGTGCCGCACCGGCAACTACCGCAACCGGTGCTTTGCTAATGCCCCTTTCAGGCTTTGGTCCTGGGCGGGCAGCTTTTTGGGCGGCCCGCAGCTATGGAACAAAACTGGAGCTGCAGTCCATGCGGCCCTTCAAGACGACGGAGTGGTGAACATCACTTCACTACCAACACTGAGGCCGCTTTGGCAGCAGTTTGATGATCAGATCCAAGATGATGCATCGCACTTTCTGATGGCCCTTGCGGATTTGGCTGAATCAGCTCGCATCATCCCGGGCTACTACCATGTAGACCATCGACAGCAGGTGCGCAAGAGAAAGTCATTCCCTATTCATTTGATCTCACCAGGGGACCAACCAGAACAAGAACTTGAACATTTGATAGCTCAGTGGGCCAATCAGGGAGAAGGACAAGTAGCTGATGGACGAGGCCTCTGGGTGGGACAAATTGGAAGATATGATTTGATTGAAGGTGAGTGGACAAAGCGTCATCAAATCCTCAATGTCCCAACGATCTTCAACCTTCCATACACGCTGGATGGCAATGAAGCAAAGACAGAGCAGTACTCTTTGATTGGGCTCCTTTGCCACTCTGGCAATCAACACCAGAATGGACACTATTTTGCCATCTTTGTGTACCGAGGAGTCTATTGGCTGGTGGACGACACCTCTTTCCCACGACCTTTGCCGGATATCACTGAGGGCATCAAGCGCCAGATCGTGCAAGTCTGGGCTCTGCCGTCCACTGAGCTCCTACCTCCGGATGTTCGATGTGATTTCCCTAGTGGAGCCACGGTTGCAGACGTTGAGCAACCAGCAAAAAGGAGATGTCTCAGCGGAGTAAGTTTTGCCTTTGCGAATGTCACAAACATGGGGCAACCAGTTCGCCAATGGCTGCTAACGAGGCCACGAGCCCCTATCCTCATGGTGGAGACTCACCTGGCATCTGAGGACTATCAGAAGGTACAACAGTGGCTGACTGCCAGGGGGTTTGGTGTCCTTGGGCACCCAGCAGCAGAAAGCAGCAAAGGAGGCACACACGGAGGTCACATGCTGGTCTTTCCTGCCCACATGCACTTCCACTATGTGCGCAAGCAGCTCATTGAAGGCTGTGGGTGGTATGCAGTGCAATGGACCTTTGCTGATGCAGAAGTCCTTCTGGTCATGGCCTACTTCCGCACAGGCGAGGGCATCCAAGGGCGCACAAATGCTCAGCTTTGGGCAGGCTTGCTCGCCTTTGTCACCAGCGTAGTCAAGCCGGTCATCATTTGTGGTGATTTCAATGTCACACCTGAAGAGTTCATGACAACCACCATGGGTACCATCATGCAGGTGCAAGTGCTGGCCACGGGTGAGGCCACTTGTCACAGTGGCAACGAGCTTGACTGGGCTTTGGTTTCCACCTCCCTCATTGCTGACTTGACGGTCAAGACGGGCTGGGAAGTGCCGTTTAAGCCCCATGCACAACTGCTTTTCCATTGGATGAGTGACCATGCCGCACCGGTGGTCCAGCAGATCCAAAAATTCCAACCAGCGCCCAAACTTATCAATCCGGTTTTGGAGTGGCATCAACTGGAATATCGTGATGTACCTGTCCAATGGATGGAGGCCAAGCCAACACCAATGACGCAGAAACTCGGTGCCTTGTATCACAAGATCGAGCGCTATGTTCTGCAAGGGCTAGACAAGCCCACTTATGGAAGGGGCACTCAGCTTCAGTTGATTCAAAAGCCTTTGCAAGATCCGAGCAAACCGTGGATCTGGAAGAGAGGCAGCCTGGCCTTTTGGGGCCAAGTTGAGGTACGGCTTCAACAGCTGCTCCAGCATCACAGGGTTGACCCTCCCCTTCAACACCTTCAGCGCTTGGGATGGCATCTACAAGACCACTGGCATGATGAATGCGCCATCACCTTGGAAGGCTTCCAGCTCCTCTACCAGATGCTCTGGGGACAGCAGGATGAAGAACATGTACGGGTGCTCTTGCAATACACGCAGCAAGCGCGAGAACTACATCAAAAACAGGCCATTGACCAAGAAACTCAAGCCTACAGAGAATGGCTGGTCAAGGCTTCCCAGAAAGGCTGTCGGGGGCTCTACAGATCCTTGAAAAGAGATGAACTGCCCTACCTCCGGCCTTTTCAAGACAAGCCCCGCCAAGAGCGGATGGAATGCAGAAAGCAGCAATGGGGCAACATCTGGGGCATCCAAGATTCACCTCAACAGCTTCCCGACCTTGAAGAGTTGATCAAGCAAGGAGCAGAACAAGGCAGAAACATGCCGCCTTTGCATCCGAAGCAGGTCTGGATCACGATCAAACACCTGAGCCTCAAAGCCCCGGGACTTGATGGCATCAGCTTCGACTACCTCAAGGCCCTTCCGTACCAGGCCATGCAGGATCTTGTTCAGATTTTCCATGCGATCGAGGCGCAAGCTGTTCTGCCACAGCAATGGGCTACATCCCTCATAGCCCTTCTGCCCAAATCAGCAGAGATCGAAAGACCCATCGCCTTGGTCGCCACTTTGTATCGGCTTTGGTGTCGTCTTCGACAATCCTTCACCAAGCATTGGCAAACCACCATCTTGGCTGAATACCACTGGGAACGGGCAGTCCCGGGCACTGAGTGCCTACAGGTGGCCCTAAAAAGAGCTTTCCTCACGGAGCACCACAATGCCATGAAGAAAACAGTGGTCTCGGTCCTCCTGGACATGTCCAACTTCTACGACCGGATCAGCCTGCAGAAGCTTTGCACCAGGTGGCTGGACTCGGACTACCCCAAGACTCATGCGGCACTGGCCATGCAGCTTTACCTGGGGGGCCGCATTCTGGAAGCAGAAGGTGAGGCCTCAAATCAAGTTTGGACACAGAATGGCATCTTGGCAGGAGACCCTCAAGCCCCTTTGGCGGCCAAAATCTATTTGTACGAGGCCTTGAAGGCTTTCCACAAAAAGTATCCCCACCTGCACACTGACCTATGGATTGACGACCTGAGCTTTGATGTGGTACATCGTGATCCAGCCCAAGCAGCACGGATTGCCTTGCAGGCCTATGAGTACATCCGCCAACTGCTGGAAGCTGACAACCTCAAAATCTCAACCAAAAAGACAGGATTCATTGCATCAAACAGTGAGGCCAAGCGGCTCCTTCAACAGCACCTTCCCGCAGATGGTCCAAGAGTGCATGACGTCATGAGGGACTTAGGCGTTGACTGCACAGCGGGGAGACTTCGACGGATTCAGACGCTCAAAGGCAGACGCAGCAAGGCTTTCAGGAAGACCAAGAAGCTTGCCACTTTGAAGATCCCTCTGAGGAGCATCAGATTGAAACTATACAAGGGAAGCATTGTTGCTGGCATTAGTTGGGGCCACGAAGCCATGGGATTGGCGCCCCAAGTTCGCCGCAGGCTGAAAGCTGCAATGGGCCGTCAGATTGGCCTACAACGCACGGGGAACATTGACATCCTTTTCGACATGCACAACAAACATCAGGATCCAGACTATGGCTCTTTCATGTCGCAGGTCCGCATCTACAGACGATTCTATGGCAACTGGCCGGAGGCTACACACAAGAATCTGGAACGATCCTGGACTGCCATTAGAGAGCGACTGCTACAAGCACAACATCCCTGGCAAGTGGCCAAAGGTCCAGTTGCGGCGTTACTTTGCCATCTACTGGAAAGGGATTGGGATTGTACTCACTATGGGCTTTGGACCAAACCTGGCCACAATGGGAGCAGAGATTTCCGCTTGGACATGAAGGAGGACTGGTATGCCCTGAGAGAAGAGCTCAAACGAGCTGAACGCTGGGAACGCATTGAAAAGATCAACAAGCGTGCCATGCTAGGTGAGGTGCAATACACCTTGGACTGGACACCCTGGAGGAGGATGAACAAAACCCTCAACAGCAGGAACAGCACTGCCTTAGCAACATGGCACCAAGGGGCGCTCTTCACCAAGATCTCGGACACAGAAGAGGATAAGCACCTTCAATGCCCCCACTGTGGGCAAAAAGCAACACTCCTGCACCTCCTTTGGCTATGCAAGGAGACAAATCGACAATTCCCGGCGCTTGATGCGGATGACCAGTTCGAGCTCGACCACGGGATCAATCTCGAGTTCTGGACGCAGGGACTCCTCATGATGCCTCGGTATGAATTGCCCACTGGAGGGGCAGCAGCTCAGGCCTGGGGCAGCTGGACACTCCAGGATGAAATGAAGATAAGCAACACGGCCGTCTTCACCATCGGCATTGCTGCCACGAGCAAAGACCCAAGACTACGACATTTTGTTGTGGCCTTGGTGCAACACGCCAAATTGGGAGAAGAGCTCTATAGGCTGGGAGTGGTGGCCACGATCCTGCCTGGGCATCAATCTTTGGAGAGGGCATGGTACTATGGGCTGCGGATGGCCGCCCACTACATCAATTTGAGTGAGCAGATCAGGTTCCACATCCTGTCCACGAAGGCCTGGGAAGCATGGGTGCATGGCAAGCACGACCACATCTTTCATGACTTGGCCTGCTTGGTCACAGCGGATGAAAGGCACCAGATCAAAGCCTTGTGCCTGAACATGCAGCAGGTCAGGCAGATGCCCAAAGGTGCACTCACTTTGCGGAGTCGTTTCCACGACGCCACCAAGGCGGCTACTGAGGTGGCCTTAGCCTATCAACCGAAGGCTGAGGAAGCAACCCTGCAAGAGCAAGACAAGAAGTACAAGAAGATAGCACCTTTGGCAGTGCAGCGCATCAGGTACATCCTTGACACCAAGGATCATTTCACACATCAGGCTCGAGAGACTGGGAAAACACTACGAGCCCAGACACAAGATCAGAAGAAGCAGGCTTTCAATGCTTTGACCACAGAGACGGCCCCGGGCACACACAGCTGGGTCACCAAAGGTCGGGGCAAGCAATGCACCTTTTGTCTCAAGCGCCTGACCCTGCACTCGAAGCTTCCTGACATCCTTCAAGCAGGCCAGGAACGATGTGTTGGCAATCCGGGCAGCACTTTGGGCGGGGCTGCGCCCCTGCAGCTTGAACCTGAGACCAAAAGCCAGATGACTCAGCAGATCCTGGACGGGACTCTACCGGAAGCAGGAGGGCATCTTTTCAAGCACCAGGGAAGCTACCTGGTGTGCCAGCACTGTGGGACGCGCACTCTGCGCAACGCGGCCAAGGACAAGATCAGAGCCATGGCCATTGAGAAGTGCATCAACCAGGCATGGCATCCGGAAAAGTCCTGGGGCGGACATGCCTCTCACCGCATGTGGAGGAAGGCAAAGGGCCTCCGCTGTCAGGCATGCAAGGCACAAGCCACATGGCATCAGGACAGATGGATGCCGAGCAAGACGCTGAAGGCGCCCTGCGGACATCAGGAGGCTAGCACACAGCTACCCCTGATTTTCACGGCCAAACCGGCCAGCTCGTCACCATAGAAAAGGAGCGAGAAAAAAAAATAGAATATAGAGTGAGTCCATCCTCTTCCAATGACAGTGAGAGAAATTCCGTACAATGTTTCTGATGTTGATCAGCGTCATCATTGTTGCTGCAAACGTAGCATTGGCAACGTGCTTGAGTTCTTTTGAAGATCATGGCTCGGCTCTTGTTCAACACATTCCTACCAATCCTGGCTTGCAAAGTTAAGCCGCAAGCTTCCGCATTTTTTTCATCACACAAGTCTAGCGCACAAACGCTTGGGTCTTGGAAAGGCCTAGCCTCGTCGCCTTCTCCAAGGCGCGCATTCATCCTTTCTGCCTTCGGGGAGTGTGCACAGAAAGTGCAAATCATAAATCGGAGGGAGAAGTGTGATTACAGCCACATTGAAGATATCACTGAATTGTATAATCGTTTGCCGGTTTGACCGAGTCCAGCGGCTTGACAGAATCGTTTTTTTGGCTTGGCTCAAAGATTTTTTATTATTGTAGTTCAGAGTCATCACATGATATGCGACCATTTCACTCAACAACTTTAGTTTGGGCAAGGTTGAACAGTTTGCAACGTTTTGGCATCTTTCTTCGCATTGAACTGAAGGAATCCTTTTTTTCGCAACAATGAGCAGACGCAGTATTGTTTGCAGGCTTTTCTTGACTAGCGGTCTTTCCGCGGGAGAACTCCAAAGGTTTCTCTCTCGTGGCGCATGGTCCATGGCCAATGACTTAAGTCAAGACCTCCCGAATGGACCTCTCAGTGCCCGAAGCAGAGATGGTTACACAGAGGCACCGGATCGGAGTGCTGCTGTTAAGACTGCAGTTGTGATGCTAATCAAAAAGACTTTAGTGTGAAGACAAGAAAAGCGTCAAATTTTGCTTTGCCAGTGCAGCACAGAGCCGAATTAATTTTCGATCCAAGTTCCTGGATGCCAGACATTCTATGATTCTATATGGCATTTTTGTTGTATTTGACGAGACAATTCATTGCTCGTTCGATTGGCACACGGAGGTACCTGAAAGAAGGTGCTCGGGAGATGAAAGCATCACAAGCTCTGATCGGGTCCGAAGTGGCTTGGCTTCCTCTGAGCCCCCGAAGCCAAATGTCAAGCTCCTCTTTACGTTTGGGGGAATCTTCTCTGCTAATCGATAGTCATGATTGAACTGACCGACTAATGATATTTATGTCTCCCTGCCATAGGTTGTTGCATCCAGACATTCTCTTTGGCCGCTTTGAATCGGCAGGTACTGTAGAGTCTTGCATTTGCTCCTCATCTTTGTCGCACTTACAGTAAAATCTTTAACTGCAATCGTTTCGATCATTTACTATCAATTTTTATAGATCTATTATTCATTTATATAGATTCCAACATCCTTTGTCAGCAGAAACTAATTATGCGTTGGTCTAGTAGGGATCCATAGTTGATCTTTTCTCTTCGCTCAATAGACGGAGTGGCCCAAGGACTCAAGGCGATTCCACGTCATTCGGATGTCTGCGAAGAAACACTTCGTTTGCAGAAGAAGAAGCAACGAAGAAGCATCAGCGAGGCAGGCTATAGCGGCCACCAGCAAATAATCACTGATTCAATGGCTTGCAAGTTTGAAGATACTAGAGACTTGCACACGTCCACCATTTCTTGCTTTCCAACATATAGTATGGCGACCAGTTTGAGCGGAATATGCTCCAAACCTGAAGTTCCCATTACACATGGGTCGGATCTCTGCTTCCTTCGATTTGGACATCTGAAGACTAGGCATCTCAAATTCGATGCTTCATTAAGGTTGCATTATATATATATATGCCAAGCAAACTGCCAGTCCTAGAGTACTTGTCAGTCTCGACGTGCAAGGCTTCCAAAGCCTCTGTCATTGTTGCTTGGCAACCACAGCTTGAGTCGAAGCAAAGGGTTTCAGCTTTTGCCACCTAAATCAGCAAGTGTGCTTTGAAGGGATTACAAACATATGACACACATTGACACACAATGGTAGAACAACGCGAGTACTTTACAGTTGATACGGTACAGCCAGAGAACTTACACTCCAGCTGTAGCTGGGTATATAAGTACTTCCCCTAAGTCGGTCCAATTGCGTTTTAGTCAAGAGCTTTTGGCCTTGCAGCCAAGGCCAGTCTGAAGAGAAGTCGGTTTTGCAAGAACTTGGACCGGAATCTTGGGTTGCACAAGAGTTTATGGCTCAGGAATGCTCAGGAGGTCCTGCTCCGAAGTCTTTTGGGATGAATGGGTCTCACAGTCCAGGGCTGCCTGACCTCTGACACTGTTTTTGTAGGTGTGAGGTGTGTGACGTTTGGTGAGTTCACTGCGAGTGTCACGGAATGGGACACAGTTGGCCGCCTGAAGCATGTGGCTGGCTGGCTTCGATTTTGATTTGATCGATAGCAAGAGGATAGAGTCCAACCTCATTCCAATGCAATTCTTGCATCCACCCCTTCACCCTTTTTCTTGTCTCTCATCTGTTTCTTGAGGGATGTGGTGGAAGCTCTTTGCAAAGACCTGGAGTACTACGCCTTCTCAGCTGGGGAGGTTCTGTGAATTGCAACAGAATATTTTCACCTTGTCTTTTTCCTCTACCTGCAAGCAAGCTACTACCTATGGACGCAGGATAGCTGACGCTTCTTCAAGGAAGCTCCCCAACCCTCAGGCGGGGGGAGCTTCCTTGAAGAAGCGTGAACTATTCTACATCCAGTTACTAGAAGCTTACTTGAGCTACTAGCAGTTACTAGCTACTTCTTCTACTAGCTACCTCTCGTGGTCTACCCCCCTCCCCCGCAGGCTTTAAAAAGTCATTTTCACCTTGTCTCTGGCGGTGCGTTGAGCTTGCTTTTCCGTCTTAGGTCATCGTGCGTCAGGGTGAGGAGGGGGATCATTTGTTCATCGTGGAGGCCAGGTGGACTGCGCAGGTTTTGGCACTTCGAGAAAGCCCAAACAGGTCCATATCAGGACTTGGAGCTGGTTTTAAACACGGAATTATATAATGCCTTTGCTTGTTGTGACGTGGTTGGCCCCCCCTCTACATCTCTGAACTTGCTGCACTGCGAATGGTGGAGGTTGGCCTCCTTGAAGTGTCCATCCACGGACGTCCCACCAATGACATGGTTGCAGGAGAAGATGCGCGAGAAATGAGTGTAGGTAGGGATAGATAGGCATGGAGGCTTTGGAATAACTTGTTTCATGCCAGAACCTTTTAAGATCAGATTCTCTTGGTAAGGCAAAGGGAGGAGGAGTGGTATCACTTTAATCAGGGTGAACATAGGTTGTGAGAGCAGTTTGATGTCGCAGCAGACAAATGAGTTGGCAGAAGGGTCAGAAATTGGGATCGCTCTATTCACTTACTTTAGCAGTCATGCAAGGATCTTCCTACTTTGCAAACGTGGATTATGGAACCATCATCATCGTTGTAACAGTTTTAAGCTACCCAAATTCCTATACAACATGGGCGTTCAAGGAGGGAGTGAACGAGTGAAATGGACATTTGTTGCTGAGCTTGGAGCACTCCTTTACGCTTTCTCTTTACAGAAGTCACACCGCGTCGTGAAGGACAAGCCTTTGGCTGCACTGCGCTCCTTTACAATGTGCCACGTACTGCCACGGTGACTGCCAAGGAGGCAGGTTTGCAACCGCGGCTTTGAATACCCAGCCTCCTGTTCGTCACCTGGTGACCCTGAAATGGGTGTCCCTCGAGTGGCAAGAGGTGGCGGAGTAGCGAGGCTGTTGAGGTGTGACATTCAGTTGTGAAGGTTTGAGAAAAGATTTCGATGATTCTCTACCACACTCCACCTAGGGTCACCTTCTTGTGTTGCTGTGTTGTCCAGGATTCAGGCCTCTGGGCGCTGGGAGGTGGCACCTTTCGCAAGCTACTGCGAGATCATGCTGAAAGACATCAAGCTCAACATCTGCATCTTCTGGAGCGAATCCATATCTTAGATGGTTTGTCAAATGTGCAGAAGGTGAATGTTGGTGCAGCGCCTCTGACCGCAATTTATGGTCAGTATATGGTGAGACGGATCAATTCTCTCATGGGAAGCAAGTACCAATTCTTCATGGGTCATGGCCTTTGGAAAGACTTGCGCTTGCATGACCTTGATGCTACGCGTTCTCTAGGTTAGGCTTAGACTAGCCGCGAAGCATTTCAAGGCTTGTAGTGTATACGGTATACGGGTAACCTTGACACGAGCCGAAGCAAGCCAATCGAAAGAAACTGAAATGTGCAGCTCACTCAGGTGGCTTTGTTAGATGAGAGCTTCACATCAGGACATTTGGTGGCGTCAGAGGGGGAGGAATGTCGGCGATTGTACCTGGCAACCTGGCACAATTCAGGAGGGGGGCTGGTGGCGGTTTCTCGGTAAAAGGGAGAGGCACCATTGAAAGCAGTCTGATCCAGCTACAACTATTTCTTATCTCTCAGCTCAATTCGATTGGAGATTTGGATACTCTATTGCTGACGACTTCGAGGTGAAGAGTGGAGCTCTCCAGTTAGTTCAAGGTGGAGAGCGTGAAGGTACCCACTGGCTGGGCGGCACGCCGATCAAAGAGGCTGCACCGATCAAAGGATTCAGAACCAAAACTCATGGTAGGTGAACAGCCCCAGGTGTCGAAAGTTCACCAAAAGAAGAACGCAGAGTCAGATTTTTGAGGGATGTGAGTCAATGTGGAAGATCACTAGACAATTGCAATTTTCAGTAGGATAATTAGACTCCGGAATCTTTACATGCCACTGGAAACTCGTTGTTTGCTAGCCCGAAGCTCCTCTGGCAGGTGGGCACGGGGGGTGTCTTCGGTGAGGACTACCTGAGGATAGATGCTTCACACACTCTAGAGGCGCAGCATGAGAGACAAATTTATTCTTGTCTTTGTTGTGGAAGCACAAATCAGTATCAGTTTCAGATAGCCGATATGATATGACAAAACATTTGTAATACTTTTGAGATGGGATGTAAGTTGGCAGCTCAGTGACGTGCGATGGGACCCAACTTTTGTGAAGTCGCTGCTGCATTGGCTTTTTGGGGCCTTGATCCCATCTCCCGGCCTCCACAAATTCAGAAGGGTTGGCCCTTACAATTGCCAGATCAACAGAACATCGCGAAGTCACAGACTTGGCGCCACTGCACCATGTAAAGGCCAGCAAGGCTCCAGTATTATAAAGTGTATGTTTATGAAGACCCGATATAATTATGGATCAGCACATCAGCCAAGCAAGCCGCTGGATAAGAGAAAGAGTGAGCGAGAGAGCAGGGCAACTTGGTGGCTGTCGGTGACACGAGCCTGGTCTGTGTCCTCATTGAGAAACTGGCTTCGGTATTAGGCAGAGCTGTGCCTTGATGTGTGTCAGAGCATTGACATGTTTTTTGCAGCACTTGTGCCATAAAAGAAGTCTCTACGATGATTCATTGAATCGGTTGAAGACGTGTCTATCTTGCTTATGAGGTGTCATGTGCTCTTCATTGTTGTTTGTTTGGCAGGCGAGCATGTTGAACTGCAGTTGGAGAAAGCCTTTGTCACTTAGCTGCAGAGAAGCTCATGCAGTGAAGCGAGCATTTCTTCATTGAAGCACCTGTAACCTTTCGTGTATCAATGCAAATGGACAGCTTTGAAGGCAACAACACAAGGGTGCCTCGCCGACAGATCAACTCTTCTGTACGACCAACTCTTTTGTACGTTCCACGTGCATTTGATGGGACTACAAAGAAGTTGTCTTACATATGCCTTCAGCCTTTTAAGTGACTAGATCTAGGGGCATACTATCAGCTTGTTTGGCATGTCATGTATAGGTTGTTTTGTTCCACTGGATCCGCTCAACCAGACCATGGCATGCTTGTGCTGTGGAAGGTTGGCCTCTCATTGCGGCGGACGCCTTGGTTTGACAGCTTCCCTCGGCCACGTCAGCAGTGCATCATGAGCAACCAGGCTGGGCGCACGGCGCAATTCGAGCTGTGATATGGTGGGTCCCAAGTTGATTTGAAGACGTGATTCTCGTTTTTTGAGCATTGTCACCGTCTTCTCGAGCATCACAAGGTCAAGGTGATCAGTTGCCCACCTGGAGCCGCAGTCCGAGATCTTGAGAGGCATTGACAAAACGGCTTGTCGAATGTCGAACAGATGTTTTCGGACAAAGTCATGACACGGAAAATCTACGCAATCTTTGACCGTTTCTGTTTACACTTCATGCAAATTGGGTGAATTTGTGGAGTTGCCAGCCCATTCTGGATGAACAAGAATCGATAGTGGCTAATGTGAAGCATTGCTGGCATTTGTCAATGCACATGACAGCTTGGCAGGGTCAGCTCGATGCCTTACTATGCTTTGGTCTTGGAGGGGAGCTTCGTTGCGGGTGAAGTCACCCTCAGGCGAGGCCAAAGCTGTCAATCTGTGGCTGTCGAACGCCTCGAGCCCTTTAGTTGCAGCTGGAAAACGGGTGCTTTTTCTGAAGGTTGTGAAATTGACTGAGAGTTACTGTATGCTTTGATTACATTCAACTGATGCATGTATAGTGATCGTAGTCTCAGGACATTCCGCCCCAACGATTATGTTTACCTTGACTAAACAAGGATGTCCTTGTGATCAAAGAAGGTAGCCAAGAGAGAAAGAAAGGAGTTCCCATGTAGGAATTCCACTGCCTTGGGTTCAAACAACATCAAACAACTCAAAGCAAGCAACCGGAACATCCAGTTTCCTTAGAGCGATATTTTGCCTAGCAGGCAAGCAACCTGCTCATCTAAAGGTGGGGAAGCTAGTTGTTCGACCATAGCATCACCATCCTGTTCGACCGAACCGCGCTGTTCTTTTGCCCAGGTTCTTTTGCAGTTCTTCGACGGAGCTGAACCGCGGGCCAAGCCTGGCCGGTGAGTCCATTCGGCCTGAGGAGCTGATCGCAGGCCCTGACCACGGCAGGTGTCTCGCTCTGAATGCGAATGCGATGTGTTTGGGTGGGCTTTGTGGCAGCTCAACTGGTTCTCAACTGGTTCAGCTTGCGTTTTGGACAGAGCAAGGTCCCAGAGTCCCACATTTTGTTTCTTCAACCTTCTCAATTGACCGAAAGACATTTGCAGATGACGGTGACATACAATGACTGCGCGCCTAGCAATGGCTTTCCATTGAAGAACAATTGTCACAGGGTCACAGGGTGTTTTTTTGACCTTTGATTTCCTCCAATATGAAGATCAGATGATTAGAAGCAAGTTCAGATGGAATGCCTGCCTGAGGTAGAGTGAAACACACACACACATATATTATAGTTATATATATGTATTTGTATATATATATATATATTTAAAGGCTTACGCCTAACAGCCAGGCGCCGGCCCACTAGGGTCTGTGTAGGGCTGGGTCGGGTGCACGCGCAGCTATCGGGGGCGTACTGGGCCCTAGGTTGGGCCAAGTTGGGCCCATGTGGTCTACGTCGGGCCTGTGTTGAGCCTATGTTGGCCTATGTTAGGCCCATATTGGCCTAGGTTGGGCCTATGTTGGCGTATGTTGGCCCCATGTTGGCCTATGTTGGCCCTATGTTGAGCCATCTTGGAGGCTATGTTGGACATATGTTGGGGATATGTTGGCTATCTTGGGCCTATATGGAGGATATGTTAGGCAATTTAAGTCGTTTGGAGGGCCTCTACCCACAAAATGTTGATTATGCCTGTCCGCCCGGCGCGCACTACCGACACCACCCTTGAAAAGCACAGCGTTTTTGCATCTCTATCTTTGCCGCGTCGTACTTCGATATGTGCAATAGACCCTATAAAGCACAGTATTTTTTATACCTCACACACACGAAGCGCTGTAAATTACAGGGGCTTCAGTGAACCGGAAGTGGGAAGGGGTCCCCCCGTTTTCATGACGAGGGTCGGCGGTGGGTCGGCGGCAGGGGCGGCGAGCGTATATCCGGCATCTCTCGTCTCCGTAGGAGAGAGGGGAGTCCCACCCCCGCCGACCGTGCGGACCATCTGAAGCTACCGCGCTTTACAGTGTTTTTGGCTTGTTCAATTTTTCGCAATTTTTCGGCTCTTGCGGCCGGCGCAAGATGGGTCAACATGGCCCAACATTGACATAGGCCCAAAAAATGCTGGAAATGCGTGCCCCACCGGGGTGCTTCGTGTGCATCGTGGGCGGATGCTGGGCTAACATGGGCCACATAGCCCCAACATGGGCCAACATAGCCCCCAAGATGGGCCAACATGGCCCCAAAATGGGCCAAGATAGCGCCAAGATGGGCCTACGCAGCCCCCAAGATGGGCCAACATAGATAAGTTTTACAAATTTCAATTGTATATGAACATCACATGGGAGAGAGTAGTGAGATGAAAAGTCAAGAACGAAGTGTTAGGAGAGAAGGTATATGAGGCGGTTGTGCTAAGACGTGTAGTATAAGTGATGATGTGATGGACGAGGATGAGAAGGAGGGGAGGGAGGAGGTGTGTGTGTGTGTGTGTGTGTGTGTGTGTGGTAAGATGGCGTGCATGTGTGTGTGTGTGTGGGTGTGTGATAAAGTGTCTGATGATGTGATGAACAAGGATGAGAGGGACGAGAGAGAGAGAGAGAGAGAGAGAGAGAGAGAGAGAAGGAGGCGGAGAGAGAAGGCTCTGGATTTTGCGATCAGATCCGCGTGAGACCTTCAAAACGTAACACACTCGAAACGACCATCAAAGCTATCAAGTGGTCTTATCCCGACCACGGCGGGCAGTGCTAGCAGGATGTAAAGTGGAGTGAGTGAGTGGAGTGAGTGAGTGAGTGAGTGAGTGAGTGAGTGGTGGAGTGGAGTGGAGTGGAGTGGAGTGGAGTGGAGTGGAGTGGAGT